ACGTGCGCAGCCTCGGCAGGCTGCTGGCCGAGCCAAGCCGACTGCCGGTTCGGTCGAACCGCAGTCCGGTCCGGACCGGTTCGGACCGGCTGGATCGGTTCAGCCCCCTTTCTAAATCGGTTCGGTTATTATGTTAAGGTTTCAGCCCGGTTCATGATTTCAATGATATTTTCAGTTATATTTCCGGGATTATTTCAGTTCAGTAAATTCATGTCCGATCAGTTCATGTTAAGTCAATTCCGGTTATTCCGGTTAAGTTTAAATATCATGTCAGGTTAAGTAGAGCATCTTAACGAAAAATTAATCAGTTAAGTTAAGAGTCTGAGCATAGTCATTAGTAATTGTTTATATTATTTTCAGTTTGATCAGGCATCAGCACTACCATTCAGTTCAGCAGTTCAGGTGGGGACTCAGACTAAGTACTACATTGATTATAATTACGGTACCATGTTTGAGGTATGTATTTCAGTTGAGGTATCCGCTCGGAATGGTCGCCGGTCCATTCTGGGTTCTAGTGGCCCTAGTCTGCCCACTAGAGTGTGCACATGGTGTCCGGCTTTGCCGGCAGTTGAGGTAACGGTCAGGGTCACGTTTGCGTGACGATTTCAAATTCATGTTCATGTTATTACCGGCTTGAGGTTGAGGTTATGTATATACTGATATCATGATGTTGTTATTATTTTCAATGTTTACATTAGTATGAGTTTCCACGGAGCACAGTGCCATAGTGCTCATTTCCCACGTTTATCATGTTTTTTAGGTCAGGACGTCGGGCTGGGAGCATGAGCTGACGAAGGCTTCAGGACATTTATGTTTTTGACTGTATATTTATGATGATGACTTACGCTTCCGCTAATGATGTTTTGACGACTTGTGACGATGTTTTTGATGACTTATGACGTACTCATATTTTGACGAACTTATCTTTGACGAACTTTTGGGAAACTTATGCTTTCCGTAACCGGATGATTTTATTAACATTAAAATAACGGGTTTTCCAAATTCACGATTTTAAGGTAGCACCCCTAATCAGTTTTTGCAAAGTAAAAAGGCTTTATTTTTAAATAACTTTGCGAATTTTCGCACTCTGATTTTACGATAAGGAGGGGTGTTACATACCATGTTGAATCCTAATACTAGAAAAACAATAATCAATAATAATGCATTAATATCCAAGTTCAGTTCAAAGCGGAAGCATTTATTTAAATTAAAGACCACCACTCGCATCCCTTCCGTCGTGCCGCATAAACTAACCTGCATCCATGAAGAGCAGGTGGGGATGAGCACAATAGGAAAGTCGAGGTGCTCACCGCTCTGCAATAATTAATTTCAATAATCAGGAAAACAATTTAAGTATGGTCGCAGCATGTATACGAATCTATAACCGTCCCATCTCCTATCAATAATCAATAATGGTCTCATGTGCACACCTATAACAATAGACTACTGTCGAGCTATATACTGAACGCCTTCCTCGAAGGCCTTAGAACGAGTGCCTGGCCAGCAGGAGCAATAATCCACCTCGAATGCCAAAACTCACGCCTTGGCATTACATACGAGGATCACCAGCCAAGGCTCACGCCCTGACTGCCAACAATATTTAAGGAGACTACCCGAAGGTACGTTCTATAGCTACGGGGATAACCGTTTGACGGCCAATATAGCTCAAATCGAGGGCTACATGCTTCACATGTATACTTTGATCATACAACAGCAAAAACAATTAATTAAGGCATAGTAAATATTACAATTACAACCCACCTTGAAATCTCGGTAGAATATATCATACAAAAGCGAGTACGTAGGATGAGGCTCGACTCCTCAAACACCTACATTTAAGCGAGATAATTTATCAATAATCTATCTCACTACTCGAATTTAACATAAAATCCATACTTAATAAAAATTAAGACTTAAGGGTTTTAATCGGATTATTCGTGGACTTGGAACTCTCTCATTTTTGCAAAATAGGGCTCAGAAAAATTAATTTGGAGTCTCGGGACTTGAAAATATTTTCTCAAATTTTTCTACTTTGAAAATAATTTTTAGAATTGAAATCGGTATTAAAAACGGGCTTCAGAACTCAAAATAGGCCTAAAAACACAACAGGGCCGAGCTGCTAATGTTCTGGACTAATTGGGCCGCACAAAAAGGGAGTTGGCAGGAAATTTTGGCCTGAATAGGGCTGAACCAAGCAGATGGCTCGTGGGCCGGAAGCAGGCCTCTCGCGGGCTTCTTCTGCAGACTGGGGTGCGGGCCGAGCGTGGGTCAAGTGCGTGCTGGACAGCGGGTTCGCGGGCCAACAGTTGAGAGAGAGGGATCGGGCCGCGCAGGCCAAGGTTCGGGCCACAAAGCCCGCGCGCTAAGAAGTTGGCATTTATTAAAAAAAAGGCTATTCTGCAAGGGCTGGGGTTCGAACACGCGACCTCGCGTACAGAATAGCACGCAGAACCGTTGTGCTACACGAGCTGAGTGAGACTTAAATTGCAAACTTAAAAAAAAAATTTAGAACAAAACCTGCTATTGAACTGAAACAAAAGCTGCGAATATGAAAGGCCGAGTAGCAGATTGAACAGAACCTCAGGCCACAGGTTTCAACAGCGAAATTCCACAGAAATTTTCCAAAATAAATTAACTTTTCCAGAGTTCGAAAACCTTACAAAAATGGGGTTTGCTCGGAATAGGAAATGACACCTAACGGTTCGCAAACAACCAAACGACTAATGACTACTACCCGG